ACTGTGGTGCTGATACTTTAAGTTATATAAAAAAAACACCTGCAGCCCAATGCATATTTTAATTGAATGTGCAGTATTTAATATTTAATGTGTATAATTCCCTGTCCTCGAACAATGTCCACTATTTAATGTAAAATACATAATTCATCACGTTGCTGCATTGGGACAAAACTCCGAAGTAAACTGTGGTCGGACATATTAAATATGGAGGAGATGATGGTGGCAGTGAGGACACGTCTCTGCAGGACTCACCCTCTGTGGGCATCACGTTCGGGTTGCAGTCCAAGTATCGCCTGGAGAAGTGTGACAGCACCCGCTCCCGCTCCTGAGTCTCCCCCATCAGAGCAAACTGTCTGAGGAACGTCCTGCAGCCGCAAACACGACCACAGTCACATCTACTCCAACACACTCATCCATCACAGGCCTAAAACTGTTCTCACCGTTTTAATCACAACTCACAGAATGATTTAATCTTAAAACCATACGATGCATCTTACCAGTAAACTTAAATAATCATGTTATAATATTACACAATAAATATTACAGATGTGATTCAATGATTTTAAAGGTCTATTAGATGAAAAATAAAAATGACTGATTATTAAAGAGTAACACTAGTGTTTATGATGAAGAATACCTGCTCTATATAACTCATATCTATACAAACTGAATGTACACAGAATGAAGGGTGCAGGGCCCCAGATGTCCTCTAGAGAGCAGTGTTTACCAGTGGAGAGCACAAACCGACAGAGAGAATATCAAATATTATTACATTAAATAAAAGCCACCGCAACACAGACACGACAACATCTCAACCAGAGACACAACACGTAAAGATCTATCTTCACTTCACATATGAAATATTTAATGTCTGCACTAAGAACTCAGGTTAAATGAATTCAAATGTGCGATTACTCATCTCTGTCTGCACACTTCAATCAGCTGCATCGTGATGTGAGTGGTCACCTCAGTGCTTGGTCGAGAGCGAGGCCGGTGAAGTTGAAGAAACTCAGATACTCCTCTGCTACCATGCGGCTGAAGTCGTTGCTGCAGACGGACGGATATAAAATAACATGCGAGGAGTAAATTAATAAACTTGGAATAATAGAGGACAAGATGAGAAAAGCTCTGCAGGAATCATCACAGCACAAAATATCAATAAAAGGTTCCGATGCCAGTTTTCTCAGTTCAGTGAAAGGCCTCAGTTCCGTCTGACACTGACACAGGCAGAGAGATGAAGACCGGAGGCTCAAGAGAAAATAACAAAACAAGAAAAGACAAAAGAGAAGGAGATTCCCAGGGTGCATCTGTCAGAAAAGGAGGAAACCCTTTAATCCCAAATTCTTTCTCATCAGCACGAGCCGGCAGCGGAGAGAGTGACAGCTGATGGAGCTGCAGATCTACTACAACTCTTTGTGAGCAGAATGTAAAGTGATGGATGCACATGTGACCCTGAATGATTTGCTTTCATTAGTGGAACTCTTGAACTCCCTGATTCTGTGTGTCAGTGCATGGTTAATAATGATAATCATGATACATGAGCATAATTTACAACCCAACAACCCAGCAGCTCACTTCTTGCTGAGGTGGCGAGCTACGTCAGACTTCCTGAAGCCATCCAAGTTGAAGAGACGTTTGGCGAGGCGTCTGGCGGCGGCCACGTCGGCACGGTGGCTGCCGTTGGTGAGGGTGTCGCTGCTGCTGAGACCCAACCTGTCGCTGAGGTCCTGGTCCAGCTCAGTATCCGTGGCCAGGCGAGCCTTCTCCCTGCTGAGGGCGGACGAGCAGAAAGAATAAGAGATTAAACTCTGACACAGATAGATGAACAGAGAGGGATCCGAAAAAAAGAGAAACGAAAAGAGAAGCACACGAGAGCGGAAAGTGGGAGGAGGAGACTGAGGAAGAATTTAAGTCTGAGTAGATAAATAATTGATCAGGTAAGAGAGGAAGAATAAAGCTAATAACCGCAGTGTATCTATACTTTAGACCAACGTCTGATCTGTTCAGCAGAATCAAGTCTTTTACGACACGAACAGCAAAGTACACGATGAAAACATCAAGACTGATCCAGAGAAAGCAGCTTCACGGAGAGAAGGAAGATTAAAGATGATAAATGATGAACAAGAGAATAAGGGCAATAAGAAATAAAGCACTTGTGTTCACGTTAGTTTTATATTCAAACACAACATTTGCACACACACTTCCACTCTCATGCTGATTACATACTCCATGAAATCAGTGTTTGGTTACTGGTCTTAATATTTCAGTATTCTTAATAAATTGAGTGTTAACTGTTTAAAATGACGTGTGAAGGAACGTGTCTGTAAATAGCGCACATACAGGTGCAAAGGTTTCAGGCTTCAGATTCTCTGTTTTGGCCCCAGATTGATTCCGCAGCACGACAACACGAGTCCAAACTCAGTCAGAGAGCAGAAAAGCATTCAGAGACAAAGAGACGTGCAACAGATGGTCTGAGCCCCAGAGACCTGACCTCAACCTCACGAAGAGATGCTCTGCAAAACAAGTACCCAAAAAAACTGTGTGCAGATGTACTGAGAAGAACTGGAGCAGTTTTAAATGATGCACTTTGCATGAAGTTAGAGAAACAGTTCACCCTGAGCGTCTGTTCTCTGTGACTCTGCTGAGCGGGTTCGATCTCCTGCGAGAAGAAGTGACTGAGAGTCAGCATCAGCTCCAGACAGATGAAGAGTGAAGCTGAACTGAGATCAGTTCAAAACACTGAGACGTTATTAACAACCAGAGTTTATCTGCAATGTTCAGCAGCAAACTTTGAAAATGCATAAAAATCTAAACAGAGTTTGGTGGATTTATAAATAAAGACTTTATTTTCGAGGCCTAAAACTTCTGATGAGGTGAAAAGTCTCAACCTCTGGGGAACATGAACGTCTGACAGACCCTCAGGTTCCACCTACCTGTGGCAGGACCTCCTGACGGTCAAATACCGCTCCTCTCCCACTGCGGACGCACCATGACAGCAGAAGACAGAGGGCGTCCTCATTGCCGTCCCCCGACCGACACCTCTCCTCAGACTGCTCCCCCGACTGCCCCTTCCACTCCTCCTGGATTCGTAATCTGAACGCATCACCATCCTGCAGGGAGCAGGAGCTAACGCAGAGGAGCTAACAGAGGAGCACCTGTGGTCGCTCCCAGGAGGCCCCACATTCCTCTGCTCGGTTTGAAGTCTGACGGAGACTTGTTTGGTGTCATCTGAGCGTCACAGCCGGCCTCCTTCCCCCAAAGTAAAAACACGTTTTCCCCTCCTCTCCTTCTCTATCGTTTTCCCTCTGAGTCTGTTTGCTGTTGTTTCTTTCCCCTCCTCCCGCCCTGTTCCGCTGTGTAAACTCTCACTGTCCCCTGCTGACCTTGGATTGGACGCATGGCATGAAACTCGGCTTGTCTGTTGCCTAAACCCCCCCCCCCTCGCCTCGCCGCCCTCCATTCATTCCTCTCAATCTCTGTGTGCGTCTCCGATTACACACATTCTGTCCTTTTGGGTGTTGCACAAATTCTAGTCCACCTTGTTTCTCGTGGTTGCTGCTAGCACACCTTCAGAGAAAACAAGGA